TGTCAACTTGACTATTATCTATGGAGAGGTTACATTCATGGCTCTAATAGTTTAAATATGCCTCAACACTCTGCATTTTCAACTCTAGGTGGCCAAACACTAAAGGTTCATATCTTTATTAAGACTAAGTGTCCATAAGAAATTTTTGCTATTTATATCCCTCAACCACTATAAACTAAAGGGGAGCTAAATTGCACTTTAAATTTATATAACTCATCTGCAACATGGTTTTTTAGCATAGAGTTGAAAGTTAGTTTTTAAGTTTTAACACCTTAAAAGATTATCAATGAAAAGTTCACTTGTCATTACTACGATGTAAATTTTTTATAAAACTTGACGTATCAATTGAGCCTTTTGTGCTTCCTTGGTAACTAATACTCACTTCTCTTTTCTCCCATCTTTCAAGTTACAATTCTCTTATTTATAAAGCTTTTTCTAATTCATCAATTTAAACAATCATGAAAGCCATATTTCACTTGATTTTTATACTAACATTGGAAAATTGATTGGATAAATATTAATTAATTAATATATTTTAGTTCCCTTTTATAGTTTTAAACTACTAGAGATTTTTCAAAAAATACAATATGGTCCCAATATATGGTTGTTGCATTATTTTACAATACTCAGATATATATTTTTAAGTTGGTTTCATATGCAACAATGTGGATGACATGTGAGTCTCAAAAAATATGTTATCAAAATATTATTTTTTGAAAGGTAAAACTAAAATACTTAGATATTTGACACAATAGAAGTTATAGAAGGACATAAATCAGAATTTGTATCCACAAGGTACTAAAATAGAAGTAAAAAAAAATAGAAAGTTGGACCTTTAATCCATAAGGAACAAAAATTTTAATCACTAAATCCATGAGGATCAATTTAGATTATCCTTGAATCCAAAAGAACTACAAAAATGCCCATAAATCGACAAGTACTAAGAAATCTTAGAGTGATAAATTTGCCTTATACATCATCTCCTAGAATTACAAGTGTTAGATTTTAAATGATCTATAACATTGTTGTGACCTCCAAGAAAATTGGATTAGTTATGAAAAAAAATTAAAAATTAATTAACAAGAAAGTAGTTACTAAGATTGAGAATCCAGTGCATTATTCACACAATTTATTCAAGCTAAATCTGATTTTGGTCCTTCCCATATTTGTAACTTATATTGTCTATTTTCAGACCTTATAGGTTACCAATACTAGGAATTTTCTTTTTTATTGATTGGTGTTATACATCAATATGTGACTTCATATATCCACTTATATTGTTTTTCAAGATCTATCTATTGGTCTGTACAACTTTACATGCCTAGATCACCATGTAAATTCAACGTGCTAACATATTCTGCTTCACATACTATGTTATCACTAAATGAAATTTTCATATATTTAAATATATATATTTTTAATTTGTATGGACTATGATTGAGTTTGATACTTGTATTTTTTAGTGTGAATTCTATATAATTTGCTACTATATTCCAAATGATATGCTTTTATATAATTCTATCAAGCGTTGAAGTATTATAAATTGATATACTAAGTACACTCTTGGGTTCCAAGCATGTGGTGTGCACCATAATTTGCATGTATTTAAATATTATATTTGACGAACTTTATTAGTGTGAAATATGAGCTTGATAGACACCATTATTTCATGAGATAATAATTATTACACCATTATTTTGATGTTAATTCTTCGTTATTTTACATTGCCACTTCCCAAACACTAAAATATTACTTTGTATATCATGGCATTTTACAATGAAACATAGATTAAAACATCAATCTTGATATATTTTGTGATTGTATGATACAAATATTCTAAATCCTCAACTTTTATGTATTGAATTAATTTATAATGGGATTTGTGATATTTTAACCTATTATACTTAATATTCTTTAACCTATTTTAACCTATTAGCCCTTGTATATTTGCTTGTACTAGGTATTATGCTTGATCTGTTATGCCATTATGTGATGTAACCACTCATGTACTGCACTATCAAACTATTCCTCACTGCCAATTCATTGATGAAAATATGAGCCTTTGCGTATTGCACTATTTATGCAGTACATTTTTTCTTCTTGTGTCTTTATTCTATTCTTATTATAAGTAATGATATATTATCTATTTGAGAGTACATCCCGTTCAAAATTTTATTAATTATCCCAGAATTTACATCATACATTTTTAAAAGTTACTAGCCACTAATACAATAAATAATTTCCTTACCAAAGACAACATGAAATGATCTTTTTTCTATGGTAAGCGTTTTTTGCCTTCAGCAATTAAGGATTTCAAAACTAATCATTTGTGTTTATGCAATTTTTTTACCTTGTTTGAGTTGATTGTTTTTTTTTAGTTGAATGCTTGCCCAGAAAGGAGGTCCAACATGGCAACTTCAAACACAGAGCATCGAGAGATGATGTGATGCCCCAAACTTGGTAGATCCATGGGCAGAACCCCACCACATGCATGAGGTCGGGCAGTGATCCATGCAGTGTGCGGTGTCACTGCAGCATGGAACACGAGGCATAATGAGGACCACACCACTCTAAAAATTGCAAGCAAAGCGTGTACGGGCGGCGGACACTCGTCTACGTGTAGCATGACATTGACATAGCATGACATGTGCAAGAATGTGCAGGGCGTGTGCACGTATGTGCACAGCACAAGCAGAGGGCCTCTACAGCATGGAGTAGGTTCGGAAAAGTGTCCAACGAACCCTGGAGGATGTTTGGTGTGATTTGGCACCATAGTAGAAAGACTTGGGACGGCGCAGCATAGACGGGCATGTATGACTGGTGTGTGGAGGTGCGCATAGCCAGGCGACATGCGATAACCGGTGTGTGCGCGCAAAGTGCGGGCAGTTACATATAGGAAGCATGAAGCAGACACATGTGGTGCGCAAGCAGCTACGCTGATTGACAAGTGGCTGATGTGCACATGGGGTGAGGTGCGCGATGTGGGGGAGACCAGGCCAAGACAGGGATAATAGTTGGGCTGTAAATCTCACCGTGGGCACCATTGTCTGGCTAAGAAGGGTGGCACCTCTCCAGGGGAGACAACCGCCCCTCCGCCTACTAAGGAAACCGCTTGTTAGGAAAGGGGGAGAGTGCAAGCTGGTGGGACAAATCGTTGAAGACCTTGCGGCGCTCGTGAAGGTGACCGAGGTTGGCATAAGGGGTAGAGAGCAAGGTACACTACCCTAAACTTGCTCCAGATGGTTTAGACCGGTTTTCAATTATATCAAAGGATACAGAACTGTTTAAATGTTTTTTACTTCGTGTGCACAAAATCATGATTCTAACGAATACTGGCACATGCAACACTGCAACGTTAATTTTGACAAAAATTAATGAGTAAAGAAATTCGAAAAATTAACCATTTTCTAGTTGCCAAAGGGAGAAATTTTGGAGAAGCTACTTTGGAATTTCATATTTCAAAGGAACATTTTTAACCCAATTGCTCAACATGTTGCAATTATATTACTTTGAGGCTCCAAGAGAATTGAAAGTCCAACCATTACAAGAACTTTCATGTAAATTTAACTTATATTTGCTTAAGATTTTTTTTTTTAGAATGGAGAAACCAACTCATTCTAGTTCACTTTAAGAGTCTAGGGTGGTAGAAGATGACCCATTTTATATTAGACTGAACAATATACATCTTTGTGCTTCGCACATGATTTAATCTTTCAAAGAAATTTCAAATTAGTCTCAGATGCCCTAAAAAGCTAGACATTTTATTGGTCTTTAGCATCTACCAATGAAACAAGGATTCCACTAATGGTTGTTCATTGTGACAAAGAAGATGAGAATGAATTTTGAAGGCCTTTAAGTTTTCTACAGAAACGATGAATAAACGAATTCTTATGCTATAAATATTTGTCAAGATTAGAAATGAAGCTCTTACTAAGGTAGATAGCATTAGATCGTGCATATTTGAAAATGTTCGAAATAATTGTATCCAGAAGTTGACAAATTAAACCTATTAGAATTGATTATTTCAGAGTTCTAAGTATATTTAAATTGCATCAATTTGGCCAATTGTTTTCATAAATTAGACATGAGATTTAATATAAGCTCTTATTTTATATAACATTACAACAAAATAATTAATTACATGGATCTTTAAGGTACGAGGGAAATTAAAAAAACTTGTAATAGCAATAATCTTTCTGTTTCTTATCAAAAAGTCAACTACTTGCACAACTCACCAAGTCGCCTAGTTATTGTTGTTGTGTATTCTGAATAGATTAGCTCAGCAAGAAGACTCTTCAGAATTCTTTTCGACCAGAGGGAAAGCAAAAGATCAGCAAACTTTTTGCGAACTGCATCTTTCCCCCCTTCAGATTATTTAAGCTGTCAAAAACATGATACAAGGACTCAAAACATTTTTTCGATCACCAAGTTATTCAGTACCTTTTGGTTTTGAGCAATTCACCTGCCCTCCTGCAGTGGAAGGTCAAGTCCTCTGTTCGCAGCAACTTCCTGATAGAGGTAGTAAGTAGAACTGATGTGAGACTCCCCCCTTTGGCAGACACCATTTCCCCCAAATTCCTCTTGCTTCAAAAAGCTTGGCTCAACAATGGAATGCTTCCCCATGGTGAGGCAAGGAGAGTATTCCTGGAGCGGGCCATGCCTCCTGATGAATGTGGAGGAAAGCCCTTTCCAACCATCATAAAGCAGGGCGTATATATAATCAATCCAGTGAGAATGGAAACCCACTAGGCAAACATAATATTCATCTGCATGAGGAGGAGAATGCTGCCTCCGAGCCATAACCGTACTCTTCAGCCAAGCAAGAACACACTCAAAAAGCAGAGAGAGATCCGGTGTTTCTCAGGGAGGGAGGTTGCTTATTTGAAAAGGCGAAGCTCCTTGGACAGAGAATCGAGATGGGTTAGGGAGAAAGGATGGCTGCCAGCAGACAATCTGCTCCCTGAGGAGAATCGGGCTGGGAAGAGAGGAGGATATAAATCTTACAAAGGAGCGGAAGAAGGGGATAGATGACTTTGAGCGAGCTTTCCTCGCAGGTGCTCCATGAATTTTGGATTGGCTCTAAGCCTGTCCTTGATGTACGCAGTTCGGGTCTCCTTGACCAAATCGTCAGCTCTGCGGGCATCATCAATCAGGGCATAAAGGGTCCTCAGGCAGTCCTTCCTATTCTCCTCCCGATGGTCGAACCTTAAGAAGACAAGAGGTCCCATGAAAATAAGAGACAAGCCCACTAAAATCAGCTTCAATAATCTGGTTGAAGAAGAATTTTCCTTTTCCGAAATGGACGGAAAATACTTTAAGATGGGAAGCATGAAAACTGAGTATTAACAAATTTGATATTTTCAAATATTTAGTTCGCGTCAACTGGCAAACGTGAATCGAACATGGTTCCAAGACTAATCGAGAATTTTAAAAAGTAAAGATTAGCAGAATCGCACAAGTCTTTACTTCACATCTTTATTGAGCGCTTCCGCAAGCCCCAAGGAACAAATAGACAAAAAACACCCACATTCATGGGAGTCTGGTCAATATCTCATTAGCAATCCACTGATTAATGAATATTTTCTAGTGTGCTAATCCAATGTCCCTTTTTAGTTACTCATCTTTGGCAAAACTAACTTAACCAGCAATATCATTAAAGAAATTAAACCATCTTTAAGAAAAATTTCAAAAATATTTACAAAAATCAGTTGCAAAACTTACTGTGTTCATGTGATGTGTCAATGTCATGTGATGCGAAAAATTGACTAAAAGAAAGGATTACTATATTTCAAACCGCCATTTGAAATTTCAGCGACCTTAAGAAATTCCACTCGTGTCATCGCATCTAACTAATAACATAAGTAGAAAACCCCCCATCAGTAAAAATCCATATCATATTCTTCATAATTAAAGATATTTGACCAGAGAAATAAGAACAAGGGCAGAAATTTAGGCATCTTGAAGCAACAAATAACCTATGGTTGAACAGTAATCAGAAGATACCGAATTCCAATTTAAATAGTCAAATCATACAGTGCAATGTCACGTAAATAGGCAAGAGTTAGTGTTGTACCTCTCACTGATGAGAACAAGCTCATCTCTACCTGGATGATATCTCTTTCCAACAATTTCTCTCAGTCGTCGGAAAGCATGTCTTGAAAGGCCCAGTTCTTTCACAGTCACTGAAAGGTTGACCTTTCTGTTTTTCGGATGCCACGAATCTCCACCAGGTGCAAAGACTGCACGTGTTTCCCACTTCAGAATAGGTCCCTCACCTGGCGGGTTACTAAAGTCTTCTTTCGTTACTCCATCAGAAATCTTTTCTTCCTCAGTGGACTCATTTGCAAGCATCGTCTCTGAACATTCCAGAACCACCTTGTCCTCAAATTCTTTAAAGAGCTCATATGCCTCTTCAGGCTGCAGCTCTCCTTTTTCGCACATGTCTCCCAGTTCATAAAATCTTGCCTCAATCTTCTGTTTTATCTCATCTAACATGAAATCAGCCAAAACTATTTAGTGAAAGATCCCCAAAATGAAAATCATTCATAAACAAGAAAAAGAAATACAAGTCCATCGATTATCACTAGTCAAATATTTTGCATTAGATAGACATACAACATCAGAAAAACTAATCCAAATCCAAAATATTAGACCACAATTACACAACATAAGATTGACAGACTTCTCAATATATAAAAGAACTCCATTATCGTCAGTGAAATTTAAAGCCATGATTAAAATACAGTCTTCTCATTGTAGCCGTTTGAATTTTTTTGGTTATGAGAGTTAATCATGAGATGTTTGTAAGCTGTTTAGTTTTCAAATGAAAATTATGGTGTCCCTGATGCCATTAGTTTTCCTTATTCAGGGCCTTCATGCATCATATCTCACTGAAAACCTTGTTTCCAATTGTATCAACTTTCTGTCAATCATCGCAAATAAGTAAAATGCACCAATGATTTTTCTTTACCCAGCTAGTGTTGGAGGGATGAAACAACCAAGGGAAGGCCCCAAAACAATTGTGGTCCAACCACAACTTTTTCGGAAGAAATTTTCTCACGCTTGTTTTAAGTGCAATTCTTTTAAAATGGACATATCCAGGAACTTTGGCAATCAACTAACATAGGTTATAACCCACTCATAGTTTCAAGTATTGTTTTTATGCAGTTTTAAAGGAGACACGTCACCGCCATATGCAAATATCAAGTGAAAAAGTACATTGTACTACAGTGAGAAAAAAATCAAATTCCTGTAAAATTTAAGGAATATTCAATAATTTCTTCTTGAGAGTGTATACGCCTTTTACCCAATGAAGGTATTCAGTATTCCCCATTCCCTAAATTTTACTCGTATATTCGTCATTACAGTGCTTTCCCCTCACCTCCAGTACTCCCCATTCCTTCTCTCTTCAATTTCTCTTCGCATCTACCAAGGTGACAGATGAATAAGAGGAATGAACTATAAAAATTCTTTTATATTTTCAATCATGTTCAGCAGGTGTAACCATGGATCATCTCCGATTTCCATTGCTCTAAACCGACACACTGGACACGTACAATAAGGCCACCATGAACATGTCCTCAATTACGCTGAAATTTAGTAGGAATGTCCCAATGTTCCTTCTCCTATATCTAACCCATAGAATAGCTGTTAACATCACCTTCTACCAATCAATAACACTGTCAGTTAGTACCGGATAACACAACATAAAGAATACTGACTTTTTTGAAAGTAATATTTAAGTAATTCTCAACTTGACAACGAATTGCGAGCATTAAACATCCTTCCATAACACACAGTAATACGTCTCCTGGATCAATGACAAATAGTCTCTTTTCGCATACCTATTTTGATATTAAGCTTTAAGCTTTGGATTCTGTCACACAAAGGCAGCCACATGCTAGCCAACTTCTAAAAAAATCTTACTTTTGAAGGAAGAAATTTTATTCTTCCAAATCGTTTTTTACCACCAAACTCTACATGGCGTCAGTTTTCCTAAAGGAAAAGATAGTGGATAAATCATCATCCATCTCCGTTTTTCAAAAATGAATGTATACCTTTCATTGGTCTGGTCACTATACTCCATCAGATTAGACGATGCTATTTACCCTGCTCCGGAAAGAACTGGCTTCTGAGGAATTCAATTTTTTTTCTGGTCAAATTTCTGTCCTGAAGATGAGAGTCATAAACATGGCCAAAGTAGATAGAATAGTGTTTCAGAAAGAATCCATCTTGCTGCAGCAGAAAGTAGTTCCACCCTTCCAATCTAGAATCAGAACACTAAATCATTTGCGTTCACCCTTACACCCTTATATTCTAATTCTGCCTACAAATGATGGGAGACCAATGTACTGAAATGAGAATTCAGCAAGGATAAAGGCCAATGATTAAATATCTCTAGTCATACTTGTATCCTAAATCCTACTTACAATAATTAATTTGTTGTTAAGATTTGCACAGTCAAATCATCCTTTCAAGCCATATAAGAGGCCAAATTAACATGTCAGTTTTCTGTACATAATCCTTATCAAATAAATCGTATCAACAGCAGTTTTGAGATGCACGAAAGATATGCAACAGGAACTTACCAGAGTTCCGTCAACTAACCCTCTCGTTCCAGTCTTGATGCTTTTATATTGTCACATGGGAAGGTAGCGTTGCTGGGACTTGGGACAATCGAGTCGATTGTCCAAAAGCTCTTGAAGTCTTAAGATGGACAATCAGTTCACAGTTCAGGGTGGACAGAAAACACTGCCGTTGTGATGCAATTTATCATTCAGTTATGCATTCTTTCATTAAATCTAATAAAAAACAATGTTCTTTTTAAGCTACTCCAACTTATTCTGTATGAGCTTTTGCAAAACCTGGTTTTACTACAATGCAAACTTTGTTGTCCTTATGGATTTTTCAGGATAAGTTGTCTCTTATGATGGTTAAAGTTGTCTAATATTTGTCCTTGATCTTCAGTGATAAACCTACGGACAACAATAATGTAGCAAAGTCCTCATTTAAAGCCTTCTACTTTCTCTGATTACTTCTCATCACAAGTAATCAGCAACAGATCCAGGAGCCATCCTCAGTGGACTTCTGATTACTAAATAACTCATATGCTCCTTAAAACCAGGAAAAAAATACCACCACATATCTGATAGAAAGTAATCTTGAATTACTTCACCACCAATAACTTCGTCAAATTGGGCAAACTCAAGATGCAAAGCTTCAACAGAAAAGACTGGAAAAGTGTCAGTGTGATATTCTCTACAAGATTGATCAGCCTTTGGAATTTTAAAAGCAGCAACTTTTGGTTTCCATTCTTAAAAAAAAGAGTGCACCCTAAGATAACGAAACCTTTCTTATTTAAGAACTCCCGCCATAAGTCATTACTGCTATTATGATTATGGTCCACTTAGCAGTTTTCTGAAACAATTCTCCCATAACTTTAATAATGATCCATCCAAAGATACCCGTACAACTGAACTCCTGAAACTCATTTTTCTAACATGAAACTTTTTTCTATGATCATTCATCCCATTCCCTTAACTGACATCAATTTCTCTGGTGTTTGGCTGTAAACTCTGGGAACCGATATGTTCGATCCCAAATAACATACAAAATGGAAAATTTGCAATCGTTTCGTAACATGAAAATTTATGCGGTTGAATTAAATTTGAATCTGTTCGATTGATTCCATCTAAAAATCCTGTTTAGCTCGCAAGACTACAGAAGACTGGATAGTAGATCCACAACTGCTGTTTCGTCAATATGATGATTTAGAATAAATGGATCGGAACTTGATAATTTTTGAAGTTCACTGCATTTCTGAAAGCAAAAGGAAACCCATCCTGCAACAGATGACTTCTCCAACAGATGTCTTAATACAGTCAAATCGAGTCAAGATGACTCCTGCAACACTAACATCACACGAAAGTTGCATAGATGGTCAACTTAGTAACCCCTGAATTTCCAACAAGAAAACCTCGCATAGATTGCCAAAGAACCAGATCATCCAAAGTTATTATTTTTTAAGACTTTTCCCCATGCTTATTTTCATTAAAACCTAACACAACTATTTAATTACACAACCAGTAGGCACTTGACCATAGACATAAATTACATGCTAATTTCTTCTTCAAGACCCTTTTCCTGAATCCAAGGACACAATTATTTCTTGTTTCGTATGTTTCAAAGTAGAGCCAATCTATGAAACCAAGGGCCATAATAGAATCTCAAGTTGAATACATAACATTTTCCGGAGAGGAATCGACAATGTAACCCGAAGAGTCATCTGAGTCAATTGGAACAAGACATTGCCATGATCAACTTGGTAACGGTCTGAGTTCAGCCACAGTAACCATCTCATCCATGCACGTTCGTTAGTTACGTTTGAACAGGCGTCTACATCAGAAGCCTATAGAGGATACGAAGGGAACCATCTTTAGACCTTGTATTCCATATAAGCAGAGACGAGACAAGTTCATAATAAAACCACAGATGATCCTACTGAGACTTTTGTTTCCACTCAATACAATTAAGGCTCGTAAATTTCATTCCTCCAAAGAAAGTTCATGACTATTGAGCACTTCTGATTTCAAATTGATTTCTGGCACCAAAAGTTCCTGCAAGAAGAGCATTTTGGGATAAACGTTTACAAGAGCCCAGCAAACATGTACGTGTCCAGATATCCGTACAACAAGTGAAATGCAAAACCTGGATTGCAACACAATATTAAGTTTCACTATTCAATTTCCCTAGTATGATTCAAAAGAGGTTCTCAGCAAACCCTTTCATGAATAATTTTTTTTCCCACTGAACGTTATTTGTGATGTGCTTCAAAATAACCAAAGTATTTCATGTCACATGTGCCTCATTCCAAGCTAATAGTTGTTTAAGGTTTCATAAACTGCAATCCTACGAAACAGATCTCATAATGAGTCAGAATTTTGTCCGTTACAAAGCACAACTCCAGAAATATGAAAAATCATTCCTGCAATCAGCCAAAGGCATCACTCACTGTCACACCCAACAAAAGGTCAATCCGTCATTCAACAAGTAGTGGAGTGAAATCCACTGGAATTTCCCCTAATCTGCACCATCTGCCCATGGAATAGACACTATTGGTTGTCACGTTGAATTTGCGTCCAAGGGAAGTTTCTTTTGTTTCTTCTCTCTTCCATTATGAGGAATGGAAAAAGCTTCATTACTGTTTTTCTAGTTTCAGATGTTGGCTGTATGATGGTTTTCAGAAAGAGTCCACATAATTTGACTAACTGCAGAGTCTGAGGACTTGAAGATGATTCGCCAGGGCATCCAAATGACAACACAACGAATGCTTCTGGCGATGATTCCACTAAAAGACATAATTTTAAAACCTTTGAAGTTCGTATTCGGATACCTAACCCCCATAAAAAGCTGCTTGGTATCCATCCTACAAGAAAATTCTCGATTGGAAATTTTTTGCCACATTGTTTCCGAAATGTGACAAAATACCCTCATATATGCTTTCAAATATGACTTGCATGAGAAGTCCACAATTTGGATAATCGCCAAAACTTTGTAGGTAACTGCCTACCCAAACACGTGGTCATATATAGTAACGATATCAGTTTTTCAATTTCTCCTCAGGTTGGGTTGCTACTGAGGTTAAGATTCCATCTTCAAAGCACCTTTAGCTATCCACCATTTGTGAAGTAAATTTGCATTTCTCCTAGAAAAATCTTATCTTAATTGGCAACTTTTGGTCCCACACAAGGTTTTACCACCATGCTATGGAACGCCCCTCCCGCCCACCCCCCCTCACCTCATTCTTTCAGCTATGATCTCTCAGAGCATTTTCGTAGACAACAGTCTCTGTAGCGATCTCACTAATGGAACAGCTTTGACAGTAGGGGAGTGAGAAGAGGGTTCCAACCATAAATTCAGTGCTTGTCCCCGTCCCATGTGGAAACCCCCAAAGGCAGGGTTATTCAGTTATTCTCGCTGCCCAGAGTGAGTCGTCACTTCTCTCAAAGAATTTTCTTATCTCCTCCTCTCCTCTTTCCATTCGTTGGGAGAATGATCTTATCAATACACGATGTATAAGTCTCCAGAGGAATTTCAAGTGTGCTCCATTACTATAGGAATTCGGTACAACCCTCCAAAAATAGACTCCCGACCTATACAAAGGAGTGCAATTCATCCGACAACTCCTTACCTCTCTGAGATCTTTGGATCTTTCAAAATTCCATAGAAATGCAGAAAAAAATATGTTTCATGCAAATATTTAGCTAAATACTAAGCAAATGTTGTAATGCTACCCATTTTTCCTTTCTCCATCAGTTCGACTTCTCCTCATGCTCCATTGATATCAAATCATAGAATCTTGCAAGAAAAGTTCTATCTTCCCACAGGACACCACTCAAAACCGAAGTGATTTGTTATCTAAGACGGAGGTCCCTTTTTTTTATCTCCAACCTTAATGCCTGAGGTCCCTGCGAAATTCCAACCATTTAAGGGTGATTTGTGACTTCCAAAAAAAAAAAAAAAGAATCAATGCAGTAGAAGAGGACAGAGAACCGTTCTCCACAGGTTCTATGGTACTTCCCATGATAATCACCAACAGCACGTGTTAATCAGAACTTTTGGTAACCATTTCAAATGTTATACCTACAGAAATTGTCATCACTACCAAGCAAACAATCATTCCAGTCCTGTTTCTTCGTAGAAGGTCACATCTCAATAAATAAAGTCACTTCATTCTCTTCATAATTTCCTTTATGGAAGAATGAACTTACTGTAGCTTATGTTCTCCAAAGAATAGTTGATGGAGCCAAGCAGATTGAAAAATAAAAGTTGGTAGAACGGATAAGACACTCTAGAAAAGATATATAACCTCGATTTCAACCATTAGATATTTTGTTCAGATTTACGTCCAATAGGATTTTAAGTATGTAATTCATCACCTGTCAGAGAAGAGGTGACCCAGGTATTCCATTAGAAAATTCTTCAATTCAACATTCCAATATCCTTGGAAAAAAATACTTTGTTGCCCTAAGGACAGTTTCCCATTACTTCGAATTTCTCAAAACTTGATTCGAAGAAATATCCGCATGGTCTATAACACCAGTCCCCATGGCAAAAAAAACACCAAAACTAACAATCTTATGTTTGTCTATCAGCTAATCTACTATCTATAACCATAATTCAAACCAATATTTCATTGGAATCGAGGAGAAAAAGAAAATTCAAGCAGATGGTAACACATATGGATTGAGCACGAAAAGAGAGAGAAACGTGCAAGTGTATGATGCTATTAGACGCTTAGAGAAGGCCTCTTTACAATATCTTAATAGACTCTGCTAAGACGTGATAGATCAAGTAGAACCCTAAACCTCTTACTCGTTATAAATGCATTACTACCCTACGGCCTCACTATAGAGCACATAAACATGAACCCATGATAAACATTCGAAGATCTGGCTATCCACAAAACTGATCTGGGGGTTGTGAGCCTGGATAATCAGTGGAAATATATATTCTTTCATGCTGGACAATTGCACAAGAAATCTTGAATGATCAGTGGAAAATCAAACACCGCGGACATATGTGCTAAAAGTATACATTTTAGTCACAGAAGGCAATTCAACGTGTTGCAGCAGAGCACGGAATACAAATTCTTCAGCTTTTCAACCTTCCTATTCAATTGAGCTACCAATATTAGAAGCTAATAACTGTGACCGGTGCTACTCACCAGGGAGAAGGTTATCCCACTTGAGCATATCCTCAAGGATGCGCTCACATTCGCTGGTGTCCTTGACAAATCCCTTCTCAATGGCCTCCTGCACCATCCCATCCCACTTGCGCTCGTCCATGTTGAAGTACTCATCCTTCACCATCTTCTGCTCCACATGATTGCGAGCATTGTATAGGTCGGGGATGTCCTCGTCCGTTGAGTACAGCTCGTCAAAATCCTCCTCGAATTCACGGTCCTTTACGTCCTGAAGCGGCTTCATCCGCAGATCCTCCATCATCTCGTCGTCCGTCTCCTCATGCTTCCCTGTCAGTTTTCGCCTCATGATCGCCTCCATGATCGACGGCAGCGCCTCCTCGTCGCCCTTGAAATACTTTTCAATCCGCCGTTTGAGCTCTGAAGACGTGATCGAAAGATTAAAGCAATTCAAAGCAATCGAAACCCTAAATCGTGATGAAATGCGGGTCGGCGAGGGGCGGCACCCGCGTTGGTGACATCCTCGACCAGGGCGGAGGAGGAAGAAGCCTCGACGATGTCACTGGAACCAGAAGACGCGGCAGAAGAGATGTCGGCGGCGGGGAGAGCGGCAGGGGCTTTGCCATCGTCACTGCCGTCGGAAGAAGAAGAGAAGAATCTGAAATGGGGGAAGGACGAGAAGCGGGGGGAGGCACATTCCGATAGAGCTCGGCGGAGGGGGATGCGAGAGACGCGGTGGAGATGGGAACAAACGGGGACGTAGCGGCGGCCATGGCCTTGCTGGAGGAGGCGAAGGAGAGCTCTCATTACGGTGAAGCACTGCTGAGGTTTAGGGTTCTGTGAGATACGAGGAGAGAGAGGGGGAGAGCGGGCGGCTTGACACGTTTAACGGCTACTGATGGAGAAGCCCAGCAAGCATGGAAGAGCACCACTTTGCCCATATAACCTTAAAAGAAAAAAGATGCATAGTCTTCTAGAGCTGTAAATCTAGGTCACGATCAAGCCTAATTGCTCGTCCAGAATTACGCACACAAGTCGAGGTGGTGAGAGGAACGACCACCATCAGGCTGGGACCAGTTATTCGCAGCGTGATTGTGAGATTGGGGTGGATTATCTTCACTATATCTAATAATATTTTGGCATAGAAGACGCCAAGAACACGTTGCCACTCCGATCGATCCCATTTTCGCCGAATCTCTACACGATTTCCGCAGCTCGATCGATCTGTGATAAATATAAAGTTTTTGCGCTCGGTCAAGAGATTTTGCCTCAGAAAATGCCATCAGAGACACCTCTGATTTTCTTCAGGTATATATATATAGATATATGTATATATCTATGGTCAGTACAGGCCAGTTTCAGGCAGCTCATTTTTTTACCCTAAAAAAGAAAACGGTGGAAGCTCCATGTTCTTCCGATAACCTTGGAGAGGGTTGAGGTCAACTGAAGGAAAGGAAAGGCGACCCTCTTTTTTTCCCCCCAGAAAGGGTGGAAGCTGCCTCCCTCTTTTCTCCGGTGCTTCATGGCTGCCGGCGTAAAGGTGGGAGATGCAGCCAGGAAGCGTATGTTTCACGAGGGGGAAAGACCATGCGCCTTCTGGACCGACAACTGGGAAAGATCAAGGATGAGCTCACATCGGTACTACAGAGGATGGGGAGAGAGAGAGAGAGAGAGAGAGTCTTTTTCACTGTGCGATACTGAAGCCACCTGCAACACGAGTTGAACGGGGAAGCGGGAAAATGAATATGGGGAGGAAGGGGAAGACGAGGAGAGGTTCTTCCCGCGGGAGGTCCTCAGCTTGTACAGTGGGTTTGTCTTCTTCGCGCCAACGTTCCTTATGCGCCATGACAGGGTCATGGGGTCAACCTCCGTCACATTTTCCTCGCATAAGTATCATGGGCGGTCTCAAAACACGTGCTTCGGAAGTCTAGACAGAGGTTAGAAATCTCTACGGACCAATAGGTCAGCAGCGAGAGAGAGAGAGAGAGAAAGAGATTTGTGTGGTGGCCGCCTGGCCAACGTCTGTCCAAACACCGGTGGATAGCCTTCGGACAGCTTGCCGGGGACATTGGCGAAAGGGAGAGCCCCGGGCCCCTCCACCATGTCTCTCTCTCTCTCTCGCTCTCTCTCTTCTGTATTCGAGTATTCGTTTTTAAAGATGGCTGGGAGGCCTCCTGGTATGATATCCTCTGCCGCTCTGGTCCTCCGTTTTCCTCCTGGCGACTGCGGGGAGGCTCTCCAGGTTGCAGGTCCGTTGTTGCTTCCCCCTCTGAAAGTGCTCCCTTTTGAGCTTTGTCTTGGAGGGGCTAGGGCTCGTCATCCCTGGATGAGCTGCTAGGAGAGAGAGTTAGGGTGTTGGGGGGGTGGAGGAGAATGACGATGAGGGAGATGATGGAGACGACGAAATCGGACCCCTTCGACGGCAGCGGCTCCGTCACAGCCGCCATCAGCCTCTTCGGAGAGAGGATTCATGGCGGAAAACCGCTCGCCGCCAAGCACAAACCTTTGTTTCCTGATGTATGCATCTTCATCTTCATCATCTTCTTCTTCCTCTCTTTCTGTGTTTTCAATGGGGGGAGTTGATGAGGTGTTTGCGGTGTGTCCTCTGAAGGAATCGCCGCCATCGAAGACCAGAGAGCTTCTTCATCTTGTGCGGAGGGATGCCGGCAGACTCGGCGAGCGGCTGAGGTTCTCAGAGCACGAGAAATCTGTTGCAGAGTCGGAATTGATCAGCAGCAAGGAGACCATGAACGAATTGAGAACCCTGCTCGAAAATTCTAGCAGGAAAGTGAGAAGCGCCCGCCGGATGTTGACGAAGCCCGCCGGAGATAGAAGCAAGTCTGGGGGCGGCGCCGCCGCCGCCGAGTACGATGAACTGGTGAAGCAGTTGGAGCGGATGAAGAAGGAGAGGAGCAAGGTGAGGCTCGACATAGCCCGAGCCGGCGAAGATACGGCGAAGGCGGAGGGGGAGGCCGAAGCGGCGGTGCTCCGGTCGGCGTCCTGCCTGAACTCGATCGAGGAACTGAGGAAGGAGGTGGACGCCATGAACGAGGAGCACGTCCTTGTCGAGATCGCCAGGCTGCAGGCCGTCGAAGAAACCAGGGAGATCGAAGCGAGGAGAGCGGCCGAGGCGGCTCAATTCGGGAAGAAGATCCAGGCAATCAGAGATCGGATGATGGCTATGAGGACAGAAATCGATCTCGCGGCGACGGCGATGGTGAGACCGGCGGCGAGGGATTCCGGCGACGGCGGCTCCGCTGCAACGGACGAGGTGGAGAAGAAGAGGCGGAAATCGGAGCTCGAGAGAGAGTTGCAGGCGGCTAAGCAGGAACTGGTCTCCACCAAGGATGAGGGGTTCCAGTTGATGGCTTCCATGGACATGGTGAGGCTCGAGCTGGTGCAGATATCCAGGGAGACGAGCCGGCTGAAGAAGCTGGAGGAGAAGCAAGATTCAGCCCTGCAGAATCTCAATTCCAAGCTCCTGAGGGCGAAATCGAAGCTGGAGACGGCCGCGGCGTCCGAGGAGAAGTCGAGATCGATAGTGCTCAATCTCTCGGCGGCTCTGCAACAGCTTAGAACGGAGGCGCGGGCGATGAGGAAGGAGAAGGATCGGGCCGAGGAAGAAATTGAAGCGACGAAGACGAAGATCCAGTCGGCCGACGCAGCGCTGGAATCCGCCGAGCAGCGGCTCGAGGACGCCATCGAAGCGCTCAAGAGCGCCAAGGCCTCTGAAGCTTCCTCCCTAGGGAGGCTGAAGCACCTCTCGGAGAGGACGATGAAGTTCAGGGCCTGCTCGGCCCCTCGCAGCTCCACCATGACCATGTCCAGCTTCGAGTACGAGTATCTCAAGGGGCAGGCGGATGGCGCTCAGAAGATCGCAGAGAAGAAGGTGGCCGCTGCTCGGGCCTGGATCGATGCATTCAAGGCCAGCGAGGAGGAGATCCTGCTCAAGATCGACAGAGCGAGGAGGGAGATGGGGGAGCTCGAGGCCGCCGAAACCAGGGAGAGGGGCAGGGACAGGATGGAGGAGACCCTCCAGGGAGAGCTTTCAAGGTACAGGCCGGAGGGGGAGAGGGTGGAGGAGGAGACGGCCATGGCGGCGGCGGCGGACCTGTTGCAGGTGGCCGCCATCCAGAGGAAATCGCTGAGAGAGAACGGGAACGCGTCAGCGCTGCGGAAGTCCAGGACGGCGCGAAGGTCGTCCCTCTCCCATGGAGCCCGCCAGTTCCCTCAGTCACCCTCCGTCGCGCTGAAGAGGAAGAAGAAGGTCATGCCCGGCCTGGTTAAGCTTCTCCGCGGTAGGAAACCTGGCAAGCTCAAGTGACTCCCTCCCTCTCTCTCTCTCTCTCTCTCTTCTCCTGCTCGTCGGTGGTAGAGCCGAACATGAATCAGAGAGGTGACTTCCAGAGACAAGGCCCTTCTTCGAGGTTTTGACTTTGCTGCCGCTAACGTGAAAGAGGGGTGTTTCTCCAATGTTACAAAATTTCTGTGCGTATGAACATTTGAGAACTTGTAATGGTAGTATATAACAAAATGCCCTGAAGATTTGGGCCTTGTAACGGACGGATTTCGTCCACCGTCTTGTAAGAATTTTTTAAGCAGCAAATCCAAGCCGTCCGTTTTCATCGATTTGGAATCATCGACGTCTTGTGGAGGACAAGAGGGACGCGTGGACGATTTGGAGGTTTTGTGGGCCCCTAACCTCAGTCTGGCGCACGTACGCTGAGGACGCTTCCGCTGCTCCGCTAGTCCACTCTGCGTAACGTAATCCACCTCCTCGGACCTCTCGACGCGCGCGTTCTCAGATCTGCATCTCTCTCTTTCTCTCTCAAGCTCTCACTTGGGAATTTGTCATGAGCCGGTGGCGGGGGTAGACGATCCTGATCGGTGGAGATGGAAGGCTCAGCGGCACAGCCGTCGGCGCCGTCGTCGAGATGGATGGACGTGGAGAAGTCGTCGATGTGCAACTTCGTCGTAGATTTCCTGCTACGGGAGAGCTACCTGCTCACGGCGTTCGAGTTGCTCCACGAACTCGTCGAGGACGGCCGGGACGACCAGGCCATCCGCCTTCGCGAGTTCTTCTCTGATACTTCTCTGTTCCCCCCCGACCAGATTGGGCGACTCAGCTCTCTCAGAGGTCCGCACTGTCCCCTGCTCCTCACCTCCCCGTGGTATCTGCATTCAATTGTTTCAATAAGATAGCGTGCAATGTTTAAATTTTTATACCAACCGGCACCGCCCCTGGAGTTGGTCGGATCGCGCAGTAAAGCTAATTGGACGTAAATTTGGATGTTATTCGCTGAAATCTTATTACCGAGTTCGCGTACTGTTCTAAGCATGTACCCACAAGTTAGATCCTATTTGGATAACTCCATCATTTACACATATTCCTACGTGTAATGTACCGTCTTTGATGAGGTCAAAAGTTCAAGTTATTGGCGTTAGAAAACCCTGGTAGTGTATCGCAGTTGGGACCTGGCTTGATATGCAAAGATAAATTTTTAAATTTTTGGTTTTTATATGCTTTCTATCTTACATGAAGAATTGATACTTCTTATGGTTTTGAAATGCTGTTTGGGGAGCCCAGGGTTTTACTCCCAAAGGAGTGGAAAACAAACGAGGGTGGAATCTGTTTCATAGGCTAACTTGGTTATTTAGCATAAAAATTCGAACAAAGCGTTTTTCAATAATGATCTCAGTTTGTGTGAGATGGAAGATATCCTATCTTTTGATGCCTATTTTTGCCTATTTTTTTCTTGATTATCGATTTGCATGTTCAGTAAATCACGCTAGGTCTGGAAAATATATGACCGGTGCTGTTATTATTTCATTTTCCGCTGGTAGTGTCGATCTTATTTTGCACTGTTAAAATGAAATGAAATCTGTGCATACTTTGTTGATGAGGGTATAAATCTTGCCGGTAAACTAACTATTTTTGGACAATCATGCTATTAGACTTGATAGATACTGGTTGGTTTTGGCCTTGAGATCCTCTATATATTGAAGGATAAATTGTTCGTCCTGGAGTTTTTCGATTATAATATTCCTTGAACGCTTGTTCTTTCATCAGATTATTTGCAGTGGAAGAGCAAACATGCAGAGCATGATTTTTTTTTACGCATATGGTTGGCACGTTTATGGTTGTTACCAAAGAAACATCATCTTCAGAGTTAAAACACTTGGATGACAAAGAAATTTTTTTAGTTCCTTTGAGATAGTTAGCAACGACTTGGGGCTGTGATTCCGTTCAATCTTGCCTCTGATTTATTCCCTTTTATGGGAAATAGGGAGAGCTTCTGATGAAGAACGAGGTAGTTTGGTAGGGGGAAAGAAATGGGAGTGTAATTTGATGAATAGAAAGAGAGAGATTGATTCTCTCTCTCGGAGTTTAAAGGGGCTTGCTCATGTTGGCTCAGCTGAGGAAATGCAAGAGAAGAAGAATTTGATGCCAGGGTAGAAGCAACAGTAGGCAGTTGGTCTTGGTCTTCTCTGTTTGTTCTGGTCTGATGATATCAGTAAATACCAAACTCAAAAGGATAAAGGGGATATGATAATGTTAAGGTTTTTCAATAATCCAAGACATGTCTCCATTGTTGTAATTCTTCCTGATTTGTTGTTTTTAGTTCTTTGTCCAGCAACACATTGGGGTTAGATGGCTCTGAAGATGATGCCAGAAAGTAATCCTATCGCTGATCTTGCTTTTTTATTCTTTCTGAATGAAAAATTTATCCCATTGCATTTTTTTTCATTGTTGCGATTTGCTTTCCACAAGTTATGTTAGACGAAGGATCTTCTCACAAATGGTTTTCCGTTCTCAGTTGCAGACGCACAAAGTTTGCTAGAAGAGAAAGAAATGCTACAGGAGAAATTGGCAATTAGTGAGTATGACCTACGGTTGGCTCAAGAAGATCTTTTAAAGTTAAAAGATGAATTACAAAGGAAGTCAGAACTGCATCCTGATAACTCTGATGGTTAGTTCCTGGGTTCCATTTTCATCGCTGACAAATGACCTAGATTTCTACGTTTATTTAATTATTTTTGAAAATGATTATTCATTGTATTTATTATCAATCTTCTTTCTTTATTGGAATCCAATGCATCCTGTTTTCTTATGCAAAGTTCATCTTATCAGTTTTCTGGCAAAAACTTTATGCTTGCACTTTCGTTATTTCTCATTTAGATGTTTTTTATATGGTGAAATATCAAGCAAACTAGCTTCAAATATAATTTCCGTAGAACTGTTTCATGGATTTTGTGTATCCTGAATAATGTCTGGTGTCTAACTAATGGGATCCCTACAATAAAACTGAGAAGTGAGAGAACTGACCATGAATTTTCTTTCTTGGGGTTCTCCTTTTAGATACCCAGTTTTTTTATCTAAAAGAGAGGCTTAGTTCTAAAAACTCAAAATTAGGTGTACAATACTTCACCATTGCTTATGATTGTTGGAGACTTACCATTAAATGATTTACGGAAAAGACAATGGTGACCTTTCGAACTAATTATGGCTGTCGTTTTGAACTTTCTCGTGTCTAATGATACTGCCTGTTGGACCAGATGAAAAGCTTAAGATTAATTGAGAAATACGTTGGAAATTTATTCTGTGCTCCAAATATCTAATAGGGGGCAGATTTCATTTGATGCAGTAAATGCTCAATGACAGTCAAATCTATTTTGCTAATTTCCCTGTCAACCTTTGTAACTCATATAAATTTAAAACTAGAAAGAGGATTAATGATTATTATGGTTTGAATCTTTGACGCCAAAATTTTTCCCCAATTTTTAACTTTTTTGCATCTCACAAAAACTTTTTGACCTGAAAATGGCTTTTCTCCCTCGATTGTAGAAGAAAGTGCTCACCAACATCCGTGGCTGGCCTTTAAGTTTCTATATATTTCTTACTAATAATCAGTTAATATCTATCAAAAATTTTGGTGACCTGTGACTGTAAATCTTGGAGAGGAGCTGTCTTCCTCCCCCCCAAGCTAAGGTCTGCTTGTGGCCACTTGCTAGCCAAAAATTATCCTCTGTTCGCCCTAAAATGTCACAAAATGTTGGGCATTCCTGGCAGACTGGGATTTCGTCCCTTCTGGACCAGAGTCCTAACTTATAGGGATGCTGGTAACCACATCCTTCCAAGATTCAAAGCCACGAAATTCTCGAAGGATAAGGGATTAGTGATACTGTCTTGGGCACATTTCCCCCCATAAAGCTGGGTTAGGCTAACGAATGATAATTACTTGAGTATCCCTCTGCTGACCCACCCATACTTGTTCGACATTATACACTGATACTTCTTGGATCCTCATACATGAGAGTTGTGGCCACCTTGTTCCTTTGCACCTTGTTCATGAGCATGAGAGATGTGTGCACTTTGTTCGTGTGCACATGGGTAGGGTCCTTTCATGCCAATTGATTGGTTGAACTCAGAGATCTGTTCATGAGCTCTAAGTTTTTTTGAACCTGTGTGAATGAATCTTGTCGCAGTCAGGAGGACCAGCTGAATTAAATGGTGTCTTTAAAGTCATGTATTTAACCCTCTCAGTTTTGCTCAGAAATTCTCAAAAACTACTAACCAAGACCATGTGACACATGTGAGGCGTGCCACACCATGCCTATGGGAACCCAGATGTGGTAAATCATAAAGCTTAAAAATATTTAGCGATTGATTCCAGTTCTCTTTACGTCAGTAAATATAAGGAAATAGCCCAAAAGTGAGTTACATCATCGATCATCATAATCCCACATAAGACCACTGGGTATAACCTCAATTTCTGATAAAAAATACCCCAAATTTTCGTCTGAAATTTTCAAAGGCTCATATTGACCACATTAGTGCTAAAACTTATATGAAAGAAGGACTGAAAAACATCAATCACTGCTGATGGTTAGTGTAGACTTGAGCTCTAATACCATTGATACCTATCTTGTATGCATTTGTCCACAGGGATGCAAATGAAAAGCAATTAAAGACGATCTCCAATCTCAGAAACTACAATTATTGATTAACTGTAGTTCCTTTCCGACTTTCCAAATGTTCCTTTCAATTTATTTCAGTCGTTTATCACTATGGCTTTTTGGTTCACAATGTAAAAGTATCGCAGCTGCAGGTGTTCAAATCATTAGCGTATGGCTCTTTAGGTCTTTCATGAGCATGTCTGTACCCATTGACATTAAAACATGGAAACCCCATTTATCAGTGTCAATATGATGAGACGTGCTATTTACTGTACAAATTCCATTCCATAAGGAAATCCTTTTTGAAAAAAGGTCGTACTGAGAGGCCTGATACTCTCCCTATGCACCTTTCGTGGTTTGGATGATTGTGTGGAAATGATCATAGTCCTTTCGCATGTATAATTCCTATTCAAAAGTCTTGTTTACAAGTGTTAGAGAGTGGCCTCTGCCAAATGATGGCTTACATAAGATCCAGTCATTAAATTCGACCTCTCTCTATGTTTCCTTCCTACATATGCACAAAGCTGAATAACTAGCATCCTGTGTCTCATCTAATCATTTCTACCCTTGTGAAGGTGTTTGAAATTATTTTTGTGACGCTGGAGGTTCTCTAAAAATTGCCTCACTCATTTAATTAAGGCTATCATTTTTACTAGCTGAGTGAGTTTGTATCACTTTGGATGTTTGATGTGTATTGAATAACAACTATAAGTACTATTATATGGTTGATATTATGCATTTATCAAAGAAAAAATTCACAAATGACTAGTTTCAGAAATCACTCTTTTTTTAGATTAGACTGTAACTCCTCTGTCACTACTGTATTTAATCTTCTCGTTATATTGTTCGATGCTGTAGGTCTGGTAGCAGATCCTTCCCAGACTGATGGAGGTGAACAGGAAAAGAGAGGGGGTTCAGTTGATTTAGGTTCACTGAAGGATGTGGAGCGTTGGGTTCTTAATTGTGCTGTGAAAGAATATTTAATGCTTGCTGGTTATAGACTTACTGCCATGACATTTTATGAGGAGGTAAGAACCAAATAATTCCCCAGCATCCATTTCACTCTTTGTACGGTGGTAGATGACGAGTGTTGGGTGGGACCTTGAAATGGCATTATGGATGTTTCTAGCTGCTACATGTCTGGATCACCTTGTCGTTTGTACCTGCAAATGGGAACTTGTGCTAGATATGTCAGAAGGGGGAATTGTTGTCACACTAGAAAATGAACATTTTTTTCATGTTCTATTTTTCTCATCAAACCAGTTTATCTATGAATGCTGAAATGATCCAATTTTGTCCATCATGGTTAGTACATATAATGGCATACACTGCATCAATTTCTTATTTCCTTGTCACATTTTAATGAGGAATGACTTCAAAGAGACCTATTTGTTGATATTTTTCCTGTCTCATATTCATCAAATGTTGTGTCTTTTGGGTATGGGGAAGGAACATCACCGAGATTGTTTGCACACGTCACGACAGACTGTCATGCTTGTTTTTTTATTGTTCATCGCCATGCATGTTACGTTTGCAATCCAAGGCGCCATTTTATTTGAACCTAAAAAAAAGAAGTTTAGCAAATAACAATGAAAATGAAAAATATTGAATCACATTTGTTCATCGTTAATATTCTTACAAAATATGAGGATCAGTGAAACAATGAGCAAGAGAATTTGAAAAATGAAATTTCTTAGGTGAATGTGCTAGTATTGGAGGGAACTCTGTCACCAAGAGTTGACAATTTTCTGTACTAAATTTTACCCTAGTAAATAGAATTATGTCAAATTGTATGTAGAAGGCAATGTAGAAAATAATTACTCTTTGTTGCTAATTTTTGTTGGACATGAAGGAAATGGACTATTTTCTTTGTTTCCTGTGAAGCAAGTTTATCTTATTGGTATCCTATGAAGTGCATCATTTTTTCTGTGTAGATTACTACTAGAACTCTGTCTTGGACCAAAAGATGACATCCTTTTTTCTAACAACATATCAACATTTTGGTTAGATTTGCAGTGGTAATCATTTTTCGTATTGTCTGCATTTGCTGATAATGAATCCAGATGCGGTCACTCAAATTTTGAACCGAGAACCTTTCACATTATTAAATCAATAAAAACGCTCAACTTTTTTTAGATGACCCTTGAATAGCATAGTATGAAAATTTGAAACTTTGTGCTGCAGGTCACTGACCAAAACCTTGACGTCTGGCCAAAATCCCCAGCTCATGTGAATGATGCTCTGCGTCATTACTATTATCAGTACCTTTCATCCACTGCAGATGCTGCCGAGGTATTTTTTGAAATAAACTCCTAGATGGCGAGTCTCACTTGGTCTCTGAGCAGTGACAATCCTCATCATATGTTTCTCATTACTATTATATTGGTTGTTTTCTCATGTGTTTGTGATCTATTATCTGTTTCATCCTCATCCGCTATCATATGTTAAGATTAACTTACACTTTTCATGTTCCCTCTTCAATCTGGACAACAAAGAATTAAGTAACAACGTTATCATATTTTTGCCAGTGTGAACATGTCAAATTGCCTGTGTAATGCTTAAAATAGAATTCTCGAAGGTTTTGTTGAGTTATAGCACTTTCATCTGAATAGGATGTAAAGACATTCAAAGGAACGTACAATTTTCTATTAATGATAAATTTTAGTGAAAAAATATGAAAAGACAGAGTTAAGGGGCATAGGTATGCGCATACTTTGTTAGTCTTGGTTGGAAAAATAGACTTGACGAGCCTGTTGTCCTGATAGGCCTGAGGGGTATAACAGCCAATATTAGGATGAATTGCTAAGCAAATCTATCATGCAAGCGCTGAAACTTTTGTCTTGTTTAGTATAGGCGTTGGGTATGGTGTTTTTTTGGTTCTGTTGTCCTGCACGGTAGAACCTATCTGTGAAATTTTTTTATTGCACAATGCAAAATTGAAAATATAGTCACAACTAAATATGTTAGCGGATCCTTCAATGTTGTGAAGAAATGTCTGGCATGAAGGTAGGCTACTGTGTCTGAGTCCCTGTTATTGAAACTTCTAGTTAGTTTTTTATAATCTTTGAACTTTTTTCTGCTATTTCTGGTCAATAAAGAAATTCATGTATGAGATTTTGTTAAGTCGGATTCCTTTTGCTGTTTTGTTGCTTGTTTTCAATAAATATTAGCATAGAATGTGAACCTTTTTTTAATACGATTTCTTCGTAATCTCATCCACAATTATTTTGTGGTGGAAACTATGTTTACTCATCTAATGTGTAACAACATGTTTTCCATTCGTTTACGGGAAAGTTTAACTTCTTTTGTGTTATCGTCATGGGTTTTTATATTGCCGGAGATACGAAACTCTTCAAATATTTATTTTATTTTGTTGACGTTTGATTCTAGGAGAAGATTTCCATTCTTCGAGATAGGGATAAGTTACTGGAAGAAACTGAACGTCTGACAAGTGAAAAGGAGTCTTTGGAGAAAAGTAGGGACTTGGCCAACAACCGTTTAGCATCACTGACAAAATTGCTGGAAACAACGCAGAAGGAAGTTAAAGAGAGGGAAATCATGGTATGTTTCCATATTTCTACTCTGCTTTGTCACCTTTTTCATTGTGCTTAATAAGCCTTCTGTTTTAAGGTATATGATTTAAAGCAGTCTCTAGAGCTTCAGAGGAAGGAACTCAATGAATGCAGGGCTGAAATCACTTCACTCAAAATGCACATTGAAAGTTCTCGAGCTAGTCAAGGATGGGTTAGTGAGAAAACTGAACACTTGCAATCTCAGAATATTGACAGCAGTGTAGAAGACAAATTTAACCAGAGTCAAGAAGAAAGTTACAAGAGAGATTTAATTCCTGATGATCCTGTGAGCTCGATGGTTTCTTGTAATGAAGACATGACTGCAGAGGATACAACCATTAGAACAAAAGAAGATTCTTCTCATCCAATAGATGCAATTTTTTGGAACTCAAATGTTGCATACCAGACTCAGTTGAATGACCCAATTAAGTCTACCACGGTTACTTCAGAGAAATCTATAAGTTCTTGCAATGGTGAGCTTTCCATTGAAAGCAATCACAGAAACTACGAAAACAACTCTATACCATCACCAGATAATTCCTCAAGGCGAACAGTTTCTGAAAAGTCTGTGAGTGCCTTCTATTTTCCTTGTTCCCATAAACATTTTACAAGGATTAATATTTCTTATTTGAGACACTCTTAAACTCGTATTGAAGTCGTTATTCTTCATTGCAGGGTTCGGAAGCTATTCACATACTTGCAGATGCTTTACCTAAGATTGTTCCTTATGTTCTTATCAATCACCGTGAGGTTCTGATTTAAAATCTGATATTGTTTTTGTAGTTCATTCTTAGAAGGATTAACGTTCTACTAATTTCATTGTCAAATGTAAAACAGGAACTTCTTCCTTTAATGATTTGTGCAATTGAGCGCCATCCAGAAAGTACTGTGCGGGATTTACTGACACATACACTATTTAACCTCATCAAACGACCTGATGAACAGCAGAGACGAATTATTATGGATGTACGCTATGTCAGCAGTAACAAATTTATGCAAATTAGGATTTATTTTGCATATTTTTTAATCCTTACATAGCATAGCCCTGACTTCTTTCATGAAATAATGGAAGTCCTACATCCATCTCTTTTGTTTTTCAGGCCTGTGTGATATTAGCGAAGAATGTGGGGGAGATGAGAACGGAAACAGAATTACTTCCTCAATGTTGGGAGCAGGTGCAAGGCAATCTTTTCTGTTTGTTTACTTTCTTTTGCTGACACTAATGATGCAGTTTGTTCACGTCTGTCGACTCAACCTTTTATTCTTGTGAACACAGATCAATCACACTTATGAGGAGCGGAGGCTTCTTGTTGCACAGTCTTGTGGAGAGCTTGCTGAGTTTGTGCGCCCGGAAATTCGAGACTCTCTAATTTTATCCATTGTGCAACAACTAGTAGAAGACCCTGCTGGAGTTGTTCGACAAGCTGCTGCTCATAACCTGGCATTGTTGCTTCCATGCTTCCCAAATGTGGACAAATATTTCAAGGTCAGCCTCACTAATGCTCGAGGCAGTCCTGGAGCAGAAAATTGACCTCAAAAAATTTGCTAAAATGTAAGCTCTAGAGCAGGCTATATCACAGACCCAGGAAAAAAAGGTTTCGGGGTTACATAACAAGTTGAATGCATTTCGTCAAAGGTTCTAATGTTATTTTTTTTGCATTGTTATATAGGTTGAGGAGCTGATGTTTCAGTTGGTCTGTGATCCATCAGGGCTGGTAGTTGAGACATCTCTCAAGGAACTCGTTCCTTCTGTCATTAATTGGGGAAAGAACTTGGATCATATTGCACGGATTTTGCTATCCCATCTCCTAGGCTCTGCTGAGGTGAGCCCTTTTGATTTGATTTTTTCCCCTTTTGCAATTAAATTTCATATTTAGGTTCTCACACAAAAGTGCTCTGCAGAGGTGTGCACCACTATCAGGGGTTGAAGGTTCAGTGGATTCTCATCTTCGTTTTCTAGGTGAACGTGAGCGCTGGAATATTGAAGTTTTACTGCGGATGTTGACTGAGGTTCTCCCTTTCATTTATGAGAAAGCAGTCAAAACTTGCCCTTTTACGTCATTTGTTAAGTCTCTTTCCAGCTCTGAGCCAGATAAAACCTTTTTCTCTTTCTCCTTGCTCGAGTTATATGCAGGGTGAGTCCTCGTTTTTTCATGACAGGGTGGTTCTGTTTATCATTTTGGAAAGGTTTCATAATTTTCTTCCAAGTGAAATGGAGGTTCTGCTCTTCTGAATTTGTTTTCAATTTCTGCTTTTAGGGGGCATGCTGACTGGCCATCGTTTGATTGGTTGCATGCTGACTGTATTCCTGATTTAATTCGACTATCATGCTTCCTCCCCACAAGGGAAGACCGTCTCAGAGTTCATATGAGGAAGGTAAATATTTCTGTGTAGTGCTGAAACGTTTTCTGCTCCATATCGTATCTGCTTTTTCTTGGAAAATAGGAATATCAAAGTTCTGTATAAAGGCTACGTTAATAGATAGGGAATGATGGGTCCCTGAAATCCTCGGACATTTCTCATTGTTGGGACGTAGTAAATCATATGGCAGTCCCTGCTTTCATAGTCAAACTTAGGGGTTGTAAACACTTAAGCTTTTTGTTGCAGTTTCTTCTGGGGGTATCTGAGAACTTTGGAGATCAATATGTTATACATATGCTGATCCCTGTTTTCTTGGAAGCAATGGGGGATCATGCTGATCTCACTCTTTTCCCCAGCAGTATACAGTCCAGAATAAAAGGTATGTCCCATCCATCATCTATGGCAATCTTAATTGGTTGCATATATCATCATGATGGTCAATATCAATTTATTCTTTTCAACTTACTGTTTCCAAGGCTTTGGCGTCCATTTTTAATGAGTTTAACCAATTTTTCATGCCAGTTCTCAAACTGCTTTCAACACAATCAAACTCACTATGCATACTTTTGGAATCTGCATATGCTATGGACCATTGTGTGTGCAAAATTGGAAATTATGTTTAAGTTCATTCTAGCACAAGACAATTGCTATTTTTTTATCATCAAGACTGCTATTTGCTAGTGCAATGCATTCCTAGCTGCTGGAATAAAATAACGAATAATCATTTTCCTGCTTGCAGGTCTGCAGCCTAAAACGGCTGTCTCTGAAAGACTTTCAGTTTTGTGCGTCCTTCCGCTTATGTTGGGGGGCATTTTTGGTGTCCCAAGTAGACATGAACAACTTGCACAATACTTGAGAAAGCTACTAGTTCAAAACACAATGGAAGGGGGTTCATGGTCCCTATACCACACTACAGATTTAATTGACGGTGTTCGTTTCCTCTGGTTGGTGCCTAGATTTCTTGTAACTGGACTCATTGATGCTATTGTCTTTTACAGAGTTTTCATTTCTTTTGTTCTCTGATGCAGCATGTTTAATGAGCATCACGCCATCATCTTTAATATTCTTTGGGAAATGGTTGTCAGCTCTAATACAAATATGAAGATCAGTGCTGTATATTTGCTGAAAATCCTGGTTTGTTATCTATCTCTCAGTCCATAACTATTTCCAGGCTCTTCAAAATGGCTCTTTATTGACATATCTCTGATTTTTAAAACTATAGGTTCCATATGTTGATGTAAAAGTTGCATCAACTCATGTTTTGCCTGCTTTGGTTACTCTTGGTTCTGACCAAAATATTAACGTCAAGTATGCAAGCATCGATGCGTTTGGAGTTGTTGCTCAGCATTTCAAAAGTGACATGGTAAGCTTTTTAGGTTTTTTGTTTGTTATAATGTTAAAGTAACCACACATTTAAAACCAACCGCATAACTGCAGTCGACTTATCTATTCCAATTCCAGTCAGGCTCAAAACTGGGTTACTCTGATTCGAGGCTTCTTACACATTTGTTTATGTATGTGCGTTTGAAGAATATTAATCACTTAAATCTTATTGTAGTAAAAACAAAAACAATTAGTCCTGCACCAATTAGACTTGTTTAGATAGCTCAGGTTGGATCATGTTGCTTTACATTCAGTTAAGACTAATCGTAGTTATGTTATTTTTTTACTATTGATACTGTTCTTGAAGCAATTGAGAATGAACAACTTTATGTTCCCACTTTTGGCACTGTTTTTGAGAAGCCATATGCTCAACTGCCACTATTTGTGTTAAATTAATTATTTAAGTTTAACCATTATTTATTATTTGAATAAAAAATAATTTTAAAAATTTTACATCACTTGTATGAACATTTTTTTTCCGGTTCAAATATGTTATATATGATACATGGAATTATCATCTTTATCAAAATTCAAACTTATTATATTTTTTTAATGCATTCCGAAACATTTATTCTTAATCAATGCAAGCCACCTCACATCACACCTCATGTAGTTGCTTTGAAGTCGACCAGTACCTTGGTCACCTAAGATAAAAACGGCTGTTTTGATGACGAACTGTACAACTTCTGGATTGTTTTGAAATTCACCTGGTCCTTGGCTGAATTTGTTCAAATAGAGGTGATAATTGAAGCTTCTTCTTCATGTTTGGCTGACTTGACCCTTCTTTCAGATTGTTGAAAAGATACGTATTCAGATGGATGCCTTCCTTGAAGATGGATCTCATGAAGCAACAATTGCTGTTGTCCGTGCATTGGCTCTTGCTGTACCACATACGACAGAGAAATTGCAAGACTATATCCCTCATTATTTTATGGTCGATTCATCACGTTACTATATCTGGCCTTTGGGTTTCATTATGGATAATGATTTGTGCTTATCTGAATAGGCAGAATTTTTGTAGACTTGACATAGAAAGGAAAAAACTTGGTCCAAAACCTTTGGCGATTCTACTTGGGCTGTTATTTTTCTTATTTTATTGCTTGTATATTTGAGATGAATATGCAGGCGTGCTTGTCTTCAGTGTCTGTGTACTTTTTCCCTTTCATTCTTTGTTTCTTTGACATATGACACATCTCTTGTCGAAGATATTCCAGCTTACTAATTCGCCAGTCCAGGGAAATCTTTTGATGCATCGATGTGAGAGAGCAAATGCATTTTGTGAGTCACTTCGTGCTCTGGATGCTACAGGTTAGCTATGAACATTAACCCAATCTTTTATATACACCTAATCATGTTTTATCCCCAGTTGCGAGAGCTTAGTCAAATGAGGCATTATATGTTTTTGTGTCTTTTCTGTAACCATTATTCTTATTTAGGCATTACATTAACCCAAACCTTTGTCATGAGGAATACATGGATTGCTAACAGATAATATATGGGCGCGGCTCTTGTATTTAGGAACTTGTCAACGAAGGGATTTTTCATCATTCTCACTTTGAATGTTTTCAGCTCGAAAATCTTTATGCGGGATGAGAAAACAAAAGAGACAAAGGCAAGGAAGAGGAATAAATAAAAATGTGAACAGAGTAGGATGTAACTTTCAAGGAAAAGTTCTTTCTTCTCTAGGGCACAAATTCTGTTCTTTTTCCGTTTTTCCTATGTTTGAAAAACTTTATTTCATTAATGATACGCACTAATACAGAAAGTAAATTCTCTGTACCCTGATGTTTAAGATGTCAAGAAAGGTGAGGGAAACATTCCAAGGCAGAATTACGAGGCCTTGTCTGTAGATATGTAGTTCACCTAAACTATGGGAATCCCTGGCAGGCTGGGTGTATCTCTGCACTTTCAGAGAGTCAAGAACTGTTATGGTGTTTGTTGCAGTTGCCCAATCCATCATGAGATATTTTAGTTCTACTGTTCTTTCCTTGAAATTCTTCTGAAATGTTGAGGGAATTCATTTTTGGCTAACAACTAACCTGTAGCATGCTGTGACAAAGATGACGGATTTTGAGGGATAAATTTTATTTACAACGATTTAGTTTTTATCTGGTTTTTTATGGTCTTATCTTAACGAATTTCCTCCCCTGCCCTAAATATTCAAAGCCATTTTATAAAATATCAAAGTTTAACCAGTCTCACTCTTGTACTTCTCCAAATCTTATGTCTAGTTAGCAGATGCATTCCGTTTCTAGTTTTATCACCTTGCCTTTGTTCTGTTCTGGGGCAAAGTAAGAGCTCCTCCTCTCAACAATCCAGAGGAGCTTCTTCCCCGGCAGTTGGAAGATCAAGAGAAGCTGATGTATTATGATTCTATGGAATGCTTCTGTATTGGAAGAGATGTGAGACTTCTGACCAATGAAGTGGGGAGCTATATCCCTAATTTCTATAAACTTGAAAGGGGGATTTGAATAGGGCCTGTCTGGAACAAATGACCAATCAATTAGAGGAAAGAATGGAGCGAGAACCTGGAGGAAATAATAGAACATTAATGGATCCTAGTGTGCTCGAGTGTAGTTCGACGGAATTACCAATATTGAGTAAATGTTAGGAGAAGCTAGACGGAATGTGGACTTCGCTGCATTCATTGCATTCATGCCGTTTGAGACGGATGTTATTCTTCTTCTCCATGGATTTCCCATTCGCAAGGTTGTGCCTTAGGGTTGCCAAACCATAGTAAAATCTTTTGGATTACTCAAACGGCAGCGCGTTCCTGGTAAAGAAAAAGGATGAAGCTCCTTGGTCTTCTTCCCCACTGATTTTTCCCATTCGCCACCAGAATGTGTGTTCACATCAAGAGAATCATACAACAGTATTAAGTATAATTATCCGGATTACTCTTGCAGCAGATTGCCCAGATTGCCCGGATGGCTCATTATTGATTTTATTTTGTGGCCGCTTCTTATGAAATCAGGCGGCACTGACCCTGGTGATGTTTTCTCCTGCAGATCTTCCCTCCACAAGCGTCCGAGAGCTCCTGCTGCCGGCCATACAGAACCTCCTGAAGGACCCGGAGGCGCTGGACCCGGCGCACAAAGAAGCCCTGGAGGTGATCGTCAGGGAGAGGTCCGGGGGGACCCTGGAAGCCATCAGCAAGGCGATGGGCGCTCATCTCGGCATCGCCTCCTCGGTCAGCAGCTTCTTCGGCGAGGGCGGGCTGCTGGGGAAGAAGGACGCCGGCGAGGCCCACGACGGCGCCGCCTCCCCGCAGGGGGTGGCGCCGCCCCTGCCGTCTGTCGGCCAGGAGGACACGAGGTTCCGGAGGATCATGAGGGGCAACTTCGGGGACATGCTGCGACCCAAGCCCAAGAGCCAGGACGAGGCGCCTCAGGGTTAGTCTCCGGCCGCGTTTCTCTTCGGTTTCTACCTTCTCAAGACACTTCCTTTCCAAGCCCCTCCCTTTCCTTGTGATTTTCTGGTGAGGGAGAGGGAGAGGGAGAGGGAGAGATGAGGTGGGTGATGGCATCGGCATGAGAGGAGAAATGAGCAATGGGTGGGTTCCCAGTATAGAGACCTAATTTCTAATTCTAGAATGATTTTGAAGCCCTCTCCAGCCGAAATCTCGTCGGGTGAGGGTGGCCCATGCCAGCCTATTCGAATCTCTACCATTGAAGTTGAATGATCATGTTTGAGTTCATCCGGTTGAAGAAACCCACGAGGATCAGCATCGCATTGGACTTGGAACGGTGATTGATAAATGCATCGGCCATTCCATCGTGGTGCAAGAAAAAGGTGCATGCTTTTTATGAAGAGAGCGGATTTTGAGGGGGGCTCAATGATTTTGGGATTATATATCTCCAATGGTAGCATCAGAGGAACCGTCACCTGTAATCATTCATTAATGGAAGTGGTCACCAATCTACTGCTACTCTTTTTTCATGCCCATGCTTTAGGGTCTCAAACTGACCACTTGTCAAACCTTAGGATCTCCAATAAAATATGACGTCTGCCCTGGTACTCATTTCTTTGCTTCTTCCTCAAATGGCGTGGTACTGAATCCTAGCAACGTTGTTCTCATTTGTCATCATCGATCCTCCAAGAGAGAGAATTGGTTTTTGTGATCCATTGATTCAAGTAGGATGGACGCATGGCCCAACCAGGCCATAGCTTGTTAGGACTTTTTCCAAATTTCTGACGAGTCATGGATGCAAACATCATGATCTTGTCAATATTGGATTAAAAAAAACTTTTTCCGTATGCATCAAAATGGGTGATAAGGTTATTAAGCAAAATAACATTGTTCGTCTATTCTTGGAAAATAACTACCAACTACCTAAGTAGAGGGGGAGTTGGACCCTTTCTTGGAAAAGGATATTCCATAAAGGAGATAGTACCGTATAAAGAGCTAATTCCTAACTATTTAAGGTTAAGGTCTCCTTAAATGAGCTGGTAAGCACTACTATAATGTCTTGGCCGGGATTCGGGCTGCCCTATTGAACAATGGAGAGTAATTCATTATTATTAGCTTCAAGATGTTGAAGGAACCTTTGACCTCTTGAGCTGATTTGATGGTTAATGGCTTTCATTTGATATTCCTAGCTTTCTTTAAAAAATATTTATCCATTCTTCTAAACATTCAAAATGAATCAATGATCAACACTATGAAATGTTAAATCCTCTAAAAATATGAAAACGAAAATAGTCTTCGTTTAGAATCCACCTCAATAATTAAATTATTTTGAACACAAATTTTAAAAGACTTTTTTGATTATCCTAGCTCGCCTTCTAACTAACCTCTAGGGGAAATGATGGTTTTAAATAACGAAAAGTGTAGATTGATAACTCTACATTTTTATTCACTTTTGATGTTAACAAAGAACATATAAATGTTAAACTGCTCCTTTGAAATTACTGAAAAATATTACAACATGATGATGGTTTTATCAATGTTGATGTATTTTTGTATGAATAAAATGCTAGTTATCTTATTATTCAATGTATTTAGAAAATAAGTGTAAATAATACTCTTGCAAACTACTTGTTGTGTGTCCTAGATAGTCATTAGAGTTAGTATATTTAATGTATTTCTAAGTTTTCTATAATGGGGAAAATATATGGGCCATAAAAATATCTTTAGTGCAACATTGTAGAGGATGTCCACAAAAAGTGTAGAGGAATTAATTTAGAGAATGTAATCTATCTAGCAGCACAAAAATTCCAACATTAAAGGCTCATGATTTCATGTCAAATAAAGTATGCCATCAACTATTAATAGATGAAAGTGTTACCAACCCATGCGGTGTTTCAATGACCATGAACGCAAAGGAATAACTAGTGTTGAATGTCTGGAGGTTGACTAACTAAAGGTGAGCCAACAGTATGCGCTTAGTGCTTCAAACTTGCAGGATCTGTGAAAAGTAATGGAAGTGTGTTTAGAAGAGTAAAATAGACTGAGAGATGAACTAGTACAAAATATCAGTACCCTTTTTGTATTGGCAGAGTAGATGGTACATGTATTATATTTTGTTAAACAAGTCTACTTATCTGTTTCATATAGACCTAAGAAAGATTGAATCGAGATCCTTTTGGTTCCTTATATGGTCCATTTGAAAACTAACAAAAGAAATTGAAGTTTTTAATAAACGTGTCATACAATTGGCCACTAATGGACTTGTGTATTTGTAAGTTGGTGCCAGGGAAATTCAAACTAGGAGAGTCATGAATGTTTTGAGTGCAAGGACATGCCTAGATGTTCAAATACCTGGACAACAAGTGCATAATGGAACCAAGTTGATATCAATAGGATAGGAAGGGTATGCCCGTACAAAGTTTTTTTATTTTATTGCTTAATCTTCCTACTCTTCTATAGTGAGTTGTCTCCCTTAAGTTTTGGTGTTCCTAATCTGTTGCATCGTATTTGATCTTTTTTCAACTAATTCAAAAAGTGCACCAATTCAGCCTTCGCCTTTGTTCCATTGTGGCTCGAACGGACCAAACAACAGGCTATAGAATGACTCTCCCCTTCTCTCTCTCTCTCATTTGAAGTCATTATCATCATGGACACCTATAATTGAATCATGTTGGGGAAAACTCTTGAGTCATCTCAAAAGAAGATTCTCTTCGTTCTTTAAAAACATCTAGTTTTATGCTAAAAAGGATAGATGAAAAAGTTACATCTGGTAGCAAAGTTACAAAATATTTCTATTTCCCATCAGAATGTTGTGCCTTAGACCAATATGAACCCAATAAAGAATCCAATAAGCAAACCTTTTAAAAACTTGCATGCAATTGATATATTCGTTGCAGCTTGGTGAAGAATATCCTCGTCCCAATCCATTGGACGTCAAGTCTGTCGACTCGAGTTCCCCGTGCAATGTTTATCAGAAAAACTGAATACCAAAGATCCAGGGCTACAAATGATATTCTCCAGTTGGATCACCTGTTGCTTCTGGATTGACAAACCGTATATGACGTAGTTTTCACTTGTTAAAAATTCTAACCGGAATCGCCCACAAATTTAGTCTTTCCACGGAACATTCAGATCCGATTTCGCTCGTAAATTACATGACACAAGAATGCTTTCTCTCCGAAATCAACCTGTGGATTCAGTTCCTTAGGGCCTAGGAGAAATGCTGGACTCATGGCCGGCCGGGCAAACGGAGACATCTCACCACGACTTCATGTCATTCTACCTCTTAATCATTTTCCTACAGGGAACTTTAGAAGGGCGACGAAACAGGTCCCCCCCTGTTCGACCAATGATCCATGGAGATTCCAGGCCCTCAGCGCCGACCACCGTGGACAGCAACACCGCCGAGGAGAAGGGTGATGGTGGAGGGGCAGTTGTCAGGGAAGTTGAAGTCAAATTTCCTCGTGTTGGGGTCCAGTGAACAGCTGCATTATCGCTTGTCCTCATCTCTTTCTCCTTTCCTTTTTCCGTTAGGGGGCTGCCTGCCCCAGTGGACGCTCACTTTCTTGCATCAGCATAGACTTCCATCGAGAAGAGAGTTTATCATGCCGGCCCATGACCCCTAGCTTTCCTTATTCAATGTCCCCACAGAGAGGAAAGAGAAGGGTTTTCTTGGTGTGTCGCTGGGAGTCAAGATGCAGCCGATGGTGGCCGAGGTCAAAGAGGTGGAGCAGCCTTCGGTAACAAGTACTCTCTCCACTCTTGGCATTCCAACTCGAGCCACGGTTAATTGGAGAAGGGAGAAGGCTCTTCAAAGGACCAACAGCACAGTAAAAACATGCAGACACCTTCTCGACACCGAGAGGTCAACTATGGTACTCATCATCCATCGCAGGACAAGGCCGGAATGAGTGTGTCCCTTTCTATGTGTTGTTGAAAGAGAGGAAAACTTCGTCCGAAGACTTGAAAAGGGTCTTTTCCGGATAGTACTTGTGTTATATAATATTCGAGGATGGATATTTAGGTCGACAATGAGTTGGAGATACATCCAAAGTCTGCATGCCGCGATAATATAATAGGCTACATTTTTTTCTATATTTTGTTGATGAATCAAGCTTTTAGGTCATTTATGAAGACCTACTTTCAATCAATCAGCATCCTTCGGAGATTCATAGAACGCAAACTCGCTAACTCAGCGTTCTTACGTATGGGCACGGTGGAGGGTGCACAATTAAGATACTATTGGCAAGGTTGGCGATATGGTTCACTTTTTGGTTTGAGTAGATGCCCTTGCTGGTACTCTGGTCAAAAGATGCCCTCATACACTCATACAGGTAGCACCAGCCCAGAGAGACATAGAGAGGGTGGCATAGAGATACCTACGAGAGAGAGAGAGAGAGAGAGAGAGAGAAGAGAGAGAGATGAAGTGCTTAGTTTACCGGAATTTATAAACTATGGCGGTGGGATGTAGAGGGGGTTTCCTGGTCAGGATAAATTGGGCAGGCGTGTGAGAGCTATCCGGCGAGCTGCTCTTCTTTAAGATCACCCTTTGAGGGAGAGGGGAGAGGTGTGACGACGAGAGAGAGAGAGAGAGGGCGAAAGGGAGGGAGGGAGGGAGAGAGAGAGAGAGTATGATGAGGGATTGGAGATGGGCTGCAGTTGAGGCGACGGGCGAAGGGAGCTATATCCTCGTGTTTTATGCAGCTGTCGGAACTCTCTGTCTTGTGGCGGCGGCCATCTTCTCTTGTGCCGGTGGCGCCTCCGAGGACAAAGACTCTGCGGAACCTCAAATATACGGAAGCGGCTGTTCGGCGGGGTGCGGCGCAGGATGCGGCGGGGGATGCGGTGCCTGAAGATTTCCTAGAGAGAGTAGAGAGGTGTAATCCAAAACAAGCTGTTGTTCCGCTGATTTGACAACACCTATTGTCCACAAAGTAACTCTTTTATACGTCTCTTAACCTCTAATTTTCACTCTCCTCTCGCTCTCTCTCTCTCTCTCGCTCGCTCTCTCTCTACAGATCTCTTTTCTTCTTTCTCTCCAAGAGAATGCGTTGACGCAGCGCAAAGCTAGTCGATGATCCGCAAGGGTGAACTCTTCCCAAAGATGCGATGGGAAACAGGACACGTTCATCACAAACGGTGACGGAGAAAAGGTTTCAGGACGTCTTTCAGCCTTTTCTTGAATATTTAAATTGACTTTGAGGGAAAGGATATTTTTTTCACCATAGCTCCCTGTATACATTGAACATTTCGATGTATCTCTCTCTCGACGGACATCAGATATCATTAGATATCCAAAGATTACTCTCTCAAGCGCGGTCTATTCGATAAGGAACACAACAAGGCAGGCGGGAACCCGAATGATAACTTTCTTCCGTCTGTCTTGTTCTTGTCTACTGCGAACGGATGCAGGGAAGAGAAGATCTTTCCAACAACACAAATATGAACCGAGAGAGAGAAGTAAAGAACAACATAATGCCTGAACGTCTCTTCAAAACGGGGTTCAGAAAAAACTCAGAGTGAGTACGAGAGAAATATGAACGTTGGACGGAGATTCCGGTAACCACAATTTGATTTCTCCCATCATAAAAAATTGTGTTTTTTATGGACATTAAGCACGTGTGTGAACCGATAGACTTGACAAGGATCTTCCGGAGTCCGCCTTCACCCCCTTCTTGAGTGGGCCAGAGCTCTACAGTTTGGCACTCAGGAAAAAACAGGCCGAGTGCTAGAGCTGTACAGTCACATCCCATCCCCATTACCGCCAATCGATTGTGAGTGTTGCTGCACAGGGTCGGAAGCCGAGGGCATTCTGTCGGTGAGAGCATCTCCCGGTGACATCACCTGACGTGACCTTTTCTTGGCCTGTTGATGGAGCAAGGGGTCCAGACTCTGGATCGTTGCTTTTTTTTTCAACGATAATATCATATGAGGAATTTTCGTAAAGACCATGTAGGCTTTTCTTTGCTGATTAATGACCAGCAGTCCAAGTGATTAACTTCTATAGAAGATCTGCTGGACGATGCTTTATATGGTTGTTAAGAAGCGGAAGCCATGGGAGACGAGGGAGAAAGCATGGTGATAAAGAGTGCTCAAAATGGTGACAATAAACTTTTCTATAAACCAAGTTATCATACAACAGAAAATAATTTAATAGTAGTTCTGTGTATTCTAAGAGTTAACTCCTCAATTCTGGCCTTTAATTTGGGACGTGCTAGCTTAATCTTTGCACAAAGGCACAACCCATACTAGGCTTACATAACATGACAAAACAAGGAAAACCTGTAAAGGAGATGATAATTTTTGGATCTTGAAAATCAATTAAAGATACGTTACCTAGAATGAAGTGAGATTTCAAAATATACTTGTTTTCAGTTCATTGATGCATTCATATCTCACATTTTGAGGAAACATTACGCCTTAAACGTTCCAATTTTCTACTGCAGACAGGCCCCTTTTGACAGCTTGGAAAGGCTAATTTTCCATTATTTTTTTCTTGTTATCATATTGACAATAACTTTATAGTTATCCTCGAATTTCTGCTTATTTATTCCTCAAAGTTCAAACTCTTGCAGATGTGGTTTTGTCAATTGCATATTTGACATGCTCTTTGTTTCAACAGAAGTTTGACCTATTAATGCTCATGCGATCTGCATACATTCAATTTTGCAGCAAGTGTTGACACATATGTATTCGATGTTGAAATTTGATGTTCTACTATCTACTTTTCCAATGCTTGACTTTCAGTAGCTTTCCCAAATATTATTTGTATAATATTTTATCTCTAAAAATTGAGTTCAAACTGATTAGCCCTTTATCTTTATAAACAATGCTTCTATGCATCAAAATACATCAGCCAATCTACTCATAGTCATGTTTCAGGATGTAAAAAAACTATCACCTTGATTCACAGAGAGTAGATGGAATTCATATGATTCTACATTGATAGAGGGATATATCAACAATGTTAAGGATCAGATCAATATAACACCAATGTTTTAACTTAATTGACGATGGAACCTAGCCTTTGATCAACATGCTTTTACTTATCCATTATACCCAATTAAAAATCTTCATTCTTTAGTTGTGTGTTTGACACATACTTGACAACTACAATCTAAGGTTTGGTAATAGTTAGCTGAGAATTGTTGCTAAACTTGTGCAAAATATATTGGAGATTATAGACATGGATACATTTTTCTTAGATAAAAAGATAACATAGGAAGGAACTGTAAAGAGATAAAGATATAAATAAAGCATTCCCTGTGGGACCTTAAATAATTTTAATGAAAAAAAATGGAGATAAGGATAAAATGATGATCCAATGGTATTAGAACTATATTACTTGATGATCTAAATCATTGTAGAGGAAAATATCTTAAATCACGGAAGAAATGTTCGAGTATAGTGGTTGTTGTACTCAACTGTTAAAATAGTTTTTAAATACAAGGTTCTATGACAGTTATTAGTTTGTATTTCGAAAGTTAATTAAAATAAGTACATAATAACCGAAATAAACATTAGGAAGGAATTGCAAACTGATTGCTGCTCCACTGCCAATTATTCGTCCATTCAGGACTAGCTGAAATATGAAAGAAGTTAATTTTTTCATATCATGTAATTTTACTAAAATATTAGTTAATTCATTTGAGTAGGGAATGACTTATTCTAATTGTGTTAGTCTACAGTCATGAATCTAGAAATACTTAGTCAAGTACTAATTTGATTTAAGTGACTGATGTTGGAACATTAAGTACACATTATTTTATGATGAAAAACACATAAAATAAATTAAATTATGCTTATTTTTCATTTAGTTTGATATATGATTAAATATTTTCTTATAGATGAGCTTGAATAAAATTAAATGAATTTTGAAAAATAAGTAAGTAATAATAATAAATATCTAACTAAAAATTTAAGGAATGCATGACTATCTCGAAATATTCAATTTTGAGTGTTGGTAGATTTGACTAAATAAAATTATTATTTTTGATATTATTGTGAAAACTATTTTTTTTAAAAAAAATCACAATGAGAAAATAATAAATTCGAAAATCTAAATTTGCAATAATATTTGAACTAAAATATGGGTATAAAAGAATTCTTTGTTGACTATTTGCTTATGATTCTATATTATTACATTTAAATTTTTTTGATATTGAATTAATTGATTGACTTTGCTTTAATTATAATATTAATAATACCACATAAGATTTTTGAAATATTAATGATAGTTTAGAAAATTCTTTTAGATCTTGATACAATTTGAGGATTTTGAGATGTTTTGATTACCAAATTATTATTAATATTAAAAAATATATTTCGATAAAATTGGATCATTACAAGAGTTAGATTGAATCATTGTGCTTTAGATATATATGTTGGTACTTAAATGGTAGCACATATTGATTTGTCCAAGAGGATATCCAAACTTTTAGAGAACATGTTGTATTGATTTCCAACCATTTGTATTTTTAAATGAAGTTTTAATTTAAACATTTAAGAGATGAAAAAATAAGATAGATTTTTTGAATTAAGTTTAATATAAATTCAGTACCTCTGCAATGGCTAATTAGTTCCAAATTATCACCTATAACTCCTCTTTGATCTTGAGAGTCTTGTTGAAAGTTTTGTAGAAAATGTTTATGAGAATTTGAGAGGTCTTCCTTATTGGTCAAAGGACATGGAGACAATACATTTAATTGACGAAATTGAGGGTCATTGAAAAGCCCCAAAATTGGTCAATCAATAATAATTATGTGTTTACTCTTTTAGATTATATTTTGAAATAGCTCAATACTATGGTAAGTTCAAGGATTGATCCTAAAGGAATGATGGGTAAAGTTCATTTTTATTTGTTGATTAAAATTGGTAGCAATGATGAAAATCACAAAGAAGAAGAAATGAGAAGCAAAAGGAAAGAAAAGGGGTTGAGGCGTCAAATGGATTTTGTCGAAGTATGGATGATGCCATGTGATCAAAGGAATTATGGGATCAACTCTAATTCAAATCAAAATGTATTTTCTAACTAAGAACATCCGACTCATAAGTACTTCAAAACCAACCTGATTATCACCACGTCTTTTTCCTTATTTCTACTAGGAGACAATAACTATTAGCTATGGGAAGGAATCTCATTAAGGGCGAATAACCTGATGACGAATAAATGACACACCTCTGATCATGAGGTATAGAGCTTGAGACCCTTTGAACCTTGTTAGGATGACAACTGTGTAAAGTTCCACTAAGATAAGCTGCCTTCTAATTGTTTGATACATTGTGTATATAGGACAACATCATCCATTCTCTCTTGCTCTCATGAGGTTAGCCCTTAATTCGACAATTGTGATGCTCTATTCTTGCATGATTAGCCTTAGATCTCTTAACCGTCATATTGAATTCTCACCCCTTGGATGGGAATGAAATCTTCATGTAATCATCTCCTCCATCGAATCTTCCTTCATGCTTTCTCATGTGCCTCTTGATATGTAAGCATCTCGACTATTAGATTTATACTCTTTTTGTCTTGAATTGATGGTGGATCCTTCTTCATGCCTTCTCGTATTCCTTTGGATAAGTAAGTATCTTGGCCGTTGGTTCAATGTTTTTTTTCTCTTGAGTAGATGGTGAATCTTGCTTGCCATAACACTTCATTTGGGCCCACTTTGCTTGCTTTCATTTGCATGCTTATGAGCTTTAAGCTCATAATTCTTCACCCAAGGCCTAAGTACAATCTTGGTTTCTTAACAAGCTGCAAGCTAATACTTAATATATGTAGCTCACGTGGTTAAAAGACAGAATTACATCATGTTCTCACATAATGTACATCAAGTATCTAAAAATGTATATT